AAGAGAAATACGGCGAAACCGGTGTTTCATTTATGAGGGGAATCTTGATATGAATTTGATTTTACCTGCTTTAATCTCAACGCATGCGTATAAAAGTTACCTTTAAACACATCTACGACACTTCCCCTTTCTGAATATACACATATCATATGCATGCGTTGAGACTATAGTAGGTAAAAAGGGATCACAACTACTTTTTGGTGCTCCGTATTTATATATAGATTGCAAATAATTTGTAGGTTTCAGTAATAATGCTCTTCTTTACTTTAATTTTCAAGGACTTGTTCGATTGTGCGATATCAAGAAAAGAAGGTATTTACAGAACTACTATTTCCATTATTATTGATTAATTTTTTTTTCCATTCAACCCTATTGTACCCAAAGAACAATTTGTAATACAAATTCACCCGTTACCAGGCACAAATTCACGGTCAAATTTGCACCCGGATTTGTATGTAGTTTCAGTTATTTTTACGGTTGCTATAGCGTAACATAGCGTAACATAGCGTAACATTCAGGTGTACATTAGGGTGTTTCCCATATCTGTAAATAGAAAAATGCTATTTTTTAATTGAAAGTAGACAAAATTCTATGCTGGTTAGTAGCATCGATACAACAAAGCGATTTATATCAACACTTCCCGAAGCGAAAAACGATTGTTGCCTCTGAATATGAATATCAATCACTCCATTATATGAATACAATCTCATAGTGAAGAATACTTACAGAAAAAAACACCTAGAAGTACTTCCTCGAAATGCTGAGACACAACAGTCAGTCTCAGTTAATGTAACAAATTACAATATTAATTTTTGATTAATTTTCGAGTACGAATGGTGATTGGTGATGCTCAAGGCTGCTGATTCGGTTGAACTGAATCGGCTGCTGATTCGGTTGAACTCATATTTATCATCGAGCGCTAAAATAGATCATTCAAATAGTGTGCATTTCATTTAATATGTAGAATATATGCAAATGCAAATTTCTAATACACATACCTTTGATGAGAATGCATTTGGCGGCGACGATATCACGATCCCAAGATGTCTTGTGTACAGCCATTAGTAGTTGCTCGTCTTCGATTTCCAATTCATTTTCATCATCGACTGCATATGGCTGTTGAACAGTTGCATACGGTGCATCAGCATTGACTTGAGCATATTCCAATTTACCACTCACTGTGTTTACTTGCCAATTTTTTGGATACACGGCCACCTTAGACAGTAAACGTTCAGCAGCAATATCGAATTCTTGCTCAGTCATGAGTCCTTCTGCCCAAAATCGCATCAAATAAAGTTCAACGACATCTTTGTTGTACCTCAATTGCCGTTTGCTGCGCTGTGCTACGATTTTTGATGGTAAATATTCGGCGAAAATTGAATCGGGCTCCACTCCACAATTTTCACACACTTTGAATCGATGGCTCCTTGTGGCTGGATTAAATCGTCACCCACACTTTGCACAATGCTGCGATGTACCCCACTCATCTGTTTTGCGCACACGACAATTGCGACGTTTTCAAAAGCCTTTGAGTAGTTTGAGCGTACCTGGAGCTCTCACATGCTTTTTGATTCGAATGCACGAGTTTGGTGATATTTCTGCATTTCCCATGTGAATAATTGCGGCTTTATGATTAACCAAATTCCCAGTGAGTTTATCAACGGTTCGATTCGATTCGACGTACTTGTCAAACTGCAACAGCGTGTATTTCGGTGTTGTATACACGGCCATTCCTTTCTTGAGCATTTTGATACGATGATGAACGTAATCAATCCAGAGTATGCCCAGTGGTGATGGCATTCGCTGATACAATTGTCGATTATTTCGATCGTCCTGCTCCTCTTGGGTGAACTGCTTCGTCCATCGTTTTGCCTTTACATCGCGCGTATTCTGCTTTGCCAGCCAATGGCACTTCTTACTGGATGTTTTCATGTTGACCTGAAATGGAAAAGTGAAGAAAAAAAATTATTCACGTAACTGTATCACTTTCTATTTCTCAATAATGCCAAAAATTTAAACACTCACTTCTTTCCTTGTTTTGATATTTCGACGAACTGTGGCATTCCATGTTTTCATGCCTGGATCGATTCCCAGTTCGTAAGCAAATTTTCCGCCGATGAATTGCTTTCGAAGAATATCATCATTCTGCATCTGTTGCTTTGACATGCGATACATAATCGACACAGATTCACCGTTGCTGACGATGGTATAATGGAATTCTTTGTTTTTCTTCAGTTTTCGATTGATGGTCGTAAAATCGAATACTTGATTCCAATAGAATTCTTTGTTCTGGCGAATGTAAATTTCGGTTGCTTGTCTACCATCAACTTGTGGAAGTTGTTTCGATTCGGCCAGCATTCGATAGAAGACATCATTGCACATGAACACTGCCTTTCGTTGATAATCAGGCAATGGAACAACCGAGAGATTTTTGATATTTGGTATCTTCACATTGTTATCTTGCGCCCAATTGTGCCACTCATCGATTTCTGTCTGCATAACGAGCCACATTGCAGTTGCTTTGAACCAATAATCGCCTTTTGAAAAATCCTTGATGTTGTGATCATTGGTTGGGCCACCAACTTCTCGCACAATTGCAGTAACCATGCCAGTAAGTTATGTTCGCTTGTGTCGTTTGAAATCTGCATTTTGATGAGTGTCACGGATCGCATTGTAGCCTCGAATCATCAAATCGACTGCATTGTCAATGTCCTTCTTGTCGAATTTCCAACCGGTAGACACTGCGTTGAATTGCCACGCTCGCATTCGCAGATAATTTTTCAACTTCTTCTTGCAGTGTGTCGTTTGACCAGTTTTCAAGCATCGCGTGTGATTTTGGCACAGCGTTTTAAAATGATTACCAAAATAATCGTTCTTGGGTCAGGCGAAATTATTTTCTGGACTGAGCTCTTCGACAAACTGACGGAAATGTGGCTCCATATTCTCACCTTCTTTGTTTTTTTGCAAGACGGCATAGAAACATTGCTCAATCACTTCTTCGCCACGATTCTTTTCAACGAGCTGTCCTTTCTTCTTTCCTTTTTTGGCCGGATACGTTCGGTTTTTAAAAAACTCCCACTGTCGATTCATTTGTGCCGATTTCACTTTATCCAAGAAAAGTAATGATGCCAAAACGGTGATTTTCGTTGACATTATGCTTTTCTGTTCGATCCACGGTTTGGTGTTGAGGCGCATTTTAATCGCGAACAATCCATTATCGTTTACATCATCATCAGCATCCTTTTATTTTTGCGCATTCGTTTGAAATTTGTATCGCTTTTTTCTTGGCGCTGTAGCAGCCGTAGTTTCACCAGTCGTTGACATGTTGAACTAAAACGAAATAAAAAAAAACACACGCGCAATTCAGAACACAAATAAAATGACAAATATATTTTCTGAACTGTGTAATTTTTGTAAATGAATTGAATCAATAAAAAGCACTGAATATATGGGGACAAAACTGACACTTGATGTTACCTGATTGAATGTTAAGCGTGAAGTGATTCAAAATCGACAAATTGAGTGATATTAACTCTTTTGAATGCAACATATAAATGCAAACCGGTCCAAAGTTGAATCGAAATATTTGCAGTTTCAGCTTGTGAATTATTTGTTATTATCAAAACTAAACAAAATCAAACACAAAATTCACCGCAAATATCTCGTTTGAAAACAAACGGTTGACAATGATTCCAATAGAAAACCGCCTACAGCGAAAAATGAACTTCTTTGAAAGCAAGAAACAAATATAACATACACTGACACAATCCAAAAATATGTTTTAGCACTTTTATCAATCGAATCCAATGAAATTATGACGATGCAAATTCAAATAAAAAAAACATTGATTCTGACAAGTTTCAACACGATCGTTTCATTTGAACCAACACACTTCTCCACATTCCGATGGTTCTGTGTCGAAAGCATTCTTATACTGCACACATTTTTTATTTATAAATCGTTTGAATAAGAATGTATGGTACGGAACCAATAAACGGAATCACAGTTTGTATGTAAACACTTAAGAGCAAAAGAAACGGAATGATTATTATTATTAGCCTATCGCGATGGATATAAATGTGTATGTGTTGTATGGACTGCTTGGTTCAAATCATAAAATGATTTTACAGGCCAAAAAAACAGCTGACACAGCGAACAACACGATTCTGAAAATGCGTTGAATATAAATTATTTCTTTTGTTTATTTATCGAATTCTAAAGAATCGCAACAATATTCTATCAAAGCGAACAGTGTCGATATACGTGCAAACAGCAAAGAGAATTGTACTTCAAATTCTAATCAACTATATTTTCAGATATGTTTTCGTTTCGGGAAGTGCTAAAATATGAATGCCATTCGCTTCGTTATATGAATGCCATTTACTAACATAAATTTTGCCTTCTTTGAATTAAGAAATACCATTTTTTTATTTGCTGATACGGGAAACATGGAAAAGAGGAACGACAATCATTAGTATCAATTGAATTGTATATGGAATATTTTTTTATTAAAAACTTTACTCACCTACCTTCCAACCGTTGTACTGTTCTTATGAACGCACAACAAGGCCACAAAATTTTCGTAACACAAATGGTGTCAAGCCTATCTACGCTAACTAATCGTTATAATATTTATTTTATCTAATAATTTATGGATTCTATGCTGCTGCTTGACAGTTGACATTGTTTGGTGATCTTCTCAACGAATCAGGCACTAGTACGCCAAACATCCGACAAAGTTCTGTGTAATTTGAAGCAAAAACATTAAAAAATGAATAGACTCTATTTTCAATTGATTCATACCTTTGAGCATAATGCATTTTGCAGCAACAATATCGCGGTGCCAAACAACTGTCTGTGAAGCAGCAACATCACCCTGAACATTTATTGACCAATTTTTGTAGGTAACTTTAACCATTGAATGCTCATTCCGAATTATGTCGCCCACATCTTGATAATTGCCATTGCGTACTCGACGCTTAATTTCCTTCCGTCCCTTTTGCAAAGCGCGTTTGCCAACCGTTGCCACAATTATATCTGGTAGACTAGCGACTGAGTCCGGTAGTCCAACAATCGGTTTCGCTTTACAACCGTGAATCGATGTTTGTGATGTTCCCCATTCATCTTTTCATTTTCACCACTGAATGGCCAAGTTTCTTAACGCTCATCAAAAATTCCCGCGATCCTGGACATCTTTTCCGTCTCTTCAAACTAGAGTTGGCATCACACACGCGCGAACATGCCAATAACGGCATTTTTGTGCGTTCGTTCGTGCGAAATCAATATTTCGAACATTTCGTACAAATATTCGAATGTTCGAACTACATTTCGCACAAACAAACACCTTCCGAACGAACGAAAATATAGTTTAACATGTTCGTTGGATGGTATTTTGAGTTTTTTTTATTTGATTTCCTCCTCGAGGCGCGATCTGTCAAAATAAGTTTGTTACCGACACAGAGCATTGCATATAATATAAATGTGAGCGTTTTGGCTTTGAATATTTCCTCGAGGAGGAAAGTGTAGAATTTGACAGATCGCGCAAATTTTTCTTCAAAATTAAAACAAAGAGAGCCAACAAAACCAACTGTGAATATATCCATTCCACAGCGAACAGCGTTCCGAACACACAAAATCGTTGAAATTGAAATGACAATAAAATTAATTGATCGCCCAAACCACGCTACAAACACTCACATCTAATTCTCAAGAAATCTTCTTAAAAACAAAACAAAGTTTTATTGTAAACAAAATCGGTTGGTGCGATTGTAGTTTCAAAGTGATGGAAGTTGTTTATACTAACAATACTGTCACACGATGCGAGCACATTTTTAATACATATAAATGAATATCGCTGGATTTGGTTTAACACATATACACCGCGCGAATAGAAAATTGTCAGAAAGATGTCAGTTGCATTTCGAAAATTGAAAATACTAATTCCACAAATAAAGAAATATAAATGCAATAAATGACGTATTAAAGAGTTTTTCTGCAGAGTTTTAAACTAATATTCCGAACCAATTGTTTATTTTTTCCTAGGTATTTATAGGCGGAAAAAACGTATCTTGGCATTTGATCCATATACACCAGAAATGCATGTTGCTTTGGAAACAAAGAAACGAGAAGTCTATGCCATTTTGGGACGTTATAAATATTAAATGGAGATAAAACAAATTTTAGTCTTTAACCCTTGACCGGGCGGGTCAAAATCCTAACACTATCGGGCAGG